TATATACACAAAGTACTAAATGTATGTAGAGTAGAGTAGAGAAGAGTCCTCTCCCTTTGGTACAGTTTCCTATGTACTTTAAATTAAAACCCTCAACATGCTCAATATAATTTAACAGAAGAAATTGTGTACCTGAATGTCCAGTGATAGTTAAAACATTAAAGTGTCCGGAAGCTGGAAACAAAATATCACTGTCAGTGAGAGAGTAAATATTGCTTAAAGCCACATCAGCAGTATTGCAGCTATTATTCGCGGCTGCACTGTCAGTTACAGAAATAATCACAGGCCAGTGATTTTCTCCATGAGGCAATATTATACATATAGCATATGCATTAAAACAAAATTCTCGCGTTCTCGCGTTCTTGAGAATAGTTGCATATAACTGTATAGGCAATTGACACAAACGCACGAGAACGCAGGTCGCGAGATCGCGACATTGGTCAATTGTCGCAATCTCCCGTTCTCGCGTTTTTGAAAGTAGTTACATATAACTGTATAGGCAATTGACACAAATGCAGGAGAATGCTAGATAGCAACAACTGGTAAGCTATTATTCTTACTAAACTTCACTCTGAAACATCTTTATCGCCAATTCTTCGGTCAAATTAAATCATATAATTATGTCTAGATAGTGCCACTAAAGTTCACAATCACAACTTTTTTCGACAGTTTAATCAGTAAAAGAGAGTATCTGTGTTGCTAGAATACGGACGACAAACAGTCACAAAATCGTTCTGTGGCTGTCTAATATACTTATTGTTTATTCTCTCAGGTAAGAAACGTTACTATCTTGTACTTTGTTAAATCTTACTATATGCTATTAACATTGGCAATACCTGAAAATAACTGAAAATGTCATACGTGTGTGGATATCTTAGATATTTCCATTGTAATACTGCTGTGAATAGATTAGGCCAACTTTGTTAACTTTATAACGTTGTTTAACTTTTTGGAATATATATTTTGGCTGAACTAGAATGTATCTTGTGTGGATGGTCACTCGGGTAATGTATTAGTTAGAGTGTGCCGGATGTACTATATTCAATCATATGTAAACTGTTGTATAACGTTGTGTACCTTGGAATATGTTCCGTGACTAATGTAGTCTGTATCATGTGTAATGATTCTAAAAGTTTATCACATTCATCTGATGTTATTGGCGTTTATGTTCTTCTATAACTAATTGTAAATACCAGTACATCTGAGAATATGTATGACTCGTTTCAGATGTAGCAAGTTTAAACTTGCAATTGACTTGGGGAGATACACAAATGTCCGATACACTGAACGATTATGTAAATAGTGTATAGAAAATGGTATATCTTTTATTGAAGATGAATTTCATGTTTTACTCGTATGTGAGCGTTATTCAGCCCTAAGAAATATGTATCTTAAACAGTATATCAAGTTTCAAACTGTAACATCTTTTACTGACATTATTTCATCAGAAAACTTTGATGTTGTTTATAACACATGTTTATATCTATATAAAGTCCAACGACTAAGAAACCTAAATCGACTACTTCCTTGGCATGCGTAGTTCATGCAATCAACCATTGTCTGTATTATGGGCCTATGGCCTTCTTACTGAATAAACTGTCTGTCTGTCTGTCTGTCTGTAAACATGCTCTAATAACTGATTGTAAGCATTCTACTGTTGACTGATTATAAAACGATTCTGTGGGTGTCAAATAAACTGATTGTTTATTCACTATGTTGTTGTGTGGGCTGGTAGTGTAAAGTACTTCTGAAAAGCGAGCTGATTCCCCAACTCACTCGCTATTTAATACTCCCGTACTTTAACATAGGCTTACGACAGTCGTAGCTCTAAGATCGCTTTCTGGAACGGGGCCCTGGATTAAACTGCTAACGAGATTTCATTTGTGGCCACAACACACTTAATATTTTCTACTCCTTGTAATATTGGATAGGGATTTTCTTCTTAGCAATTGATCACTATTCTGTGTTTGGTAATCGTGTTTATATGACTAAATGAAAATTAATGGATACATGACCTAAACTCAATCATAGCTCATCATTGTTGCTTTCGATCAGCTTTAAGAATCAATTCCACAGCCAAGAGGAGATACTTATATCCAGAATTCGAAAACAATGATAAAAGCCATGACATTTTAAAGCCATTCAAAACATATTAAATCGGAGTGGCATTGTACATTTTTATTTTCAGCTGATCGTGGTCGATCGCGTCTGGTGACGCTTTTACAGAGATTACCTAAAAGTCGGGCCAAGAAAAGTCGGGCCGGGCCGGGCCAGCGGGTAATACTAAAAACGGATTGCAGAATAATAAAACAAAACGCGCATATCTAGGCAGATCTCAAATGTCCACAAACGTATAGTTTTGCTCATTTAATTGAGTTTGAATAAAAATGCACCTTCAACAATGTAATAAACTGATGATTATGACTACATACCGCGAGTCTCGTAGAAAAGTCAGTGTCTTGACTGTGTGTATTCTTTGATTAGAATGCTTCTCACCGACCTTGGCGTGTAGGGGTGTGATGTCCTGGGCAGGAAACGACAGTGTTTTGACTACTATTCTTTCATTAATTAACGTGTTGGGCATCCCTAATTAACCTTTACTAATTTATGTTAAACCAACACAGGATGTTTTCTGGAAGTGGGTATTCGCGAATGTCAAAGGACTGACACGACAAGTGTTAATAACTGTCCAAGCACTTCTAAAGTTCCTAACATTATTTATATCTAAAGATTAGTATTATATCTAATTATATACCACTTTATTGTCTCATATTTCAGTAGTTAAAGAAAACACAGAGCTCAAAGGGAAGCCTTTTTCACTCTACATTCTCAACATAGTCTCTTATCAGAAGTGTTTGGCTTGTGTTGGGTCCGACTTGGCCCGGGCTGTCAAAATCAACTTAAACCTCACAGGCGTATATTCAAATGTATTCACATCTATAAACGAGTTTAATATCTACCTATATACCACTTTATAGTGTCTCAGTACATCGTATGTAAAGAAAACTGGTCCGTTAAGTCAAACACTTTTACTGTATTTTCTTAAGAAAATCTCTGTCAGAAATGTTGGGTCCGACTTGGTCCGGGCTGTCAAAACCAACCTAAACCTCACAGATGTATATTCAAATGTATTCACATCTATAATCGAGTATAATATCAACCTATATACCACTTTAAAGTGTCTCGGTTCGCTGTATTTAAAGAAAACAAGGTGCTCAAAGTGAAGCCCTTTTCCCGCTACATTCTACAGTGCTACAGTGTTTGGTTTGTGTTGGGTCCGACTTGGCCCGGGCTGTCAAAATCAACTTTAAACTCACGGATGTATCATCAAATGTGTTTATATCTATACCTTGTTTTCTTTAAATACGATGTACTGTGACGGGAACATAAACATTATAATGATAATGATGATGATAGTTGTTTATGATGAGGATGATCACCATATATTAACGTCAATGGTGATTAACAAGGAGGCCTTTCATGATTGAATTTAATCGTGTTGTGAAATACATTTCAATTAGTCATCGAGATACATTTCAGTTATCCACACCTTACACCTGTTGTATTCTGAATTGATCGTCTATGCAATCGTATTTCTATGGATCTATAATACACAGTCTGTTACTCAGTTTTATTTCGCTTATTGACTTTCTACATAGGTGAACATGGACATTTATTTTACATGCAAACAACATGTTATTCAGGAAAATATAATTACATGATAGGGGTTTGTGAACACACAAATAATTATTTATTCAAACACCTCTTCATTTAAAAAACATATATATTAACACACACAAATGTTTTTTACAAACAATAGTTGATTTTATGCTTCTAAACAAACCACACGCAAGCTATTGTTGAATTTTAAAATATAACCAAGGTAAATTTATGTACAATCATATTTAATCACAAATATCGTTCCGTTCTATATAAATGTAACAAGTGAACTAACCATTTCAGTGGATCTCAACATGGACAAAACTGTTGGAGATGTTCAATGAGTGAATGTTTATTTAATGAAGTAAAAACGTAGATTCTTTCTTTTGGTAAATACATGTAGCTGTACATCTTATAGATGTTCCAAGAGAAAATAATATAATATCTACCTATATACCACTTTATAGTGTCTCAGATCGCGGTATGTAAAGAAAACTTGGTGCTCAAAGTGAAGCCCTTTTTCCTCTACATTGATGATACATCTGTGTGTTTAAAGTTGATTTTGACAGCCCGGGCCAAGTCGGACCCACCACAAGCCAAACACTTTTGATAGAGACTGTTGAGAATGTAGAGGGGAAAGGGCTTCACTTTGAGCACCTTGTTTTCTTTAAATACGATGTACTTTGACATTATAAAGTGTTTTATAGGTAGATACAATACTAAGCTACAGATATTAACACATTTGATGATACATCTGTGTGTATAATTGATTTTGACAGCCCGGGACAAGTCGGACCGAGCACAAGCCAAACACTTCTGAAGGAGACCATGTTGAGAATGTAGAGGGAAAAGGGCTTCACTTTGAGCACCTTGTTTTCTTTAAAAACCGCGATCTGAGACACTATAAAGAAATATTTAGGTACATATAATACTAATCTATAGGTGTGAATCCATTTCATGTTACATCTGTGAGGTTAAAGTTGATTTTGACAGCCCGGGCCAAGTCGGACCGAACACTTGTGAGACTGTTGAGAGTATGGGGAGAAGAGGTCTACTTTAACCAACGTGTCTGCTTTATACACGATGAGAACTGACATTATTAAGTGGTATTTACATAGATATAGTACTATCCTATAAATATAAACGCTATGCCGACAGATGGAAATGTGTATCGCGATAGCTAGAAGTATTTGATACGTTTCAAATCTTATTTCGTTTAACGATTGCTCTTTTACATTTTACCTAGATCAGCGATGCTTACACACAGCTCCACTTTCTGGATTTCAAGCGATTTACTCCGAAATACCTAATTATGTTTCACGTTTTTGGTTGGTGATTGTTCATTAATGTCATGTGTGTATGTTGCATCAATAATATGTAGGTATGATCGCCGATAATGAAGTAATTATCCAACAACACTTTGGCCCGTCTTGGCCCGGCCCGGCCCGACTTTTAGGCAATGCCCTTTTACAGTCAGATGGCCAACTACTAGGGCTCTATGTGTGTGTGGTCACATACTTGTGACGCTGTCGTGTCTCTGATTCCTCAATTATACTGCAATTACAACCCTTTGAAGCAGCCAGGAGGAAGTTCTGTAAACGATGCTCGCGCGTGACATGTCACACAACAATCAAATGTCAACCACTAGTAAGAACACAGGTATCATCTGAGACAGAGGTCACCGTCTTTACATGTCTCGGGGATAGAATCAGGGACAGAGGTCACCAACTTTACATGGCCTGGGGTAGCATCAGGGACAGAGTTCATCAACTTTACATGGCCTGGGGTAGCATCAGGGACAGAGTTCATCAACTTAACGTGGCCTGGGGTAGCATCAGGGATAGAGTTCATCAACTTAACGTGGCCTGGAAGTAGCATCAGGGACAGAGTTCATCAACTTTACATGGCCTGGGGTAGCATCAGGGACAGAGTTCATCAACTTAACGTGGCCTGGGGTAGCATCAGGGATAGAGTTCATCAACTTAACGTGGCCTGGAAGTAGCATCAGGGACAGAGTTCATCAACTTTACATGGCCTGGACGTAGCATCAGGGACAGAGTTCATCAACTTAACGTGGCCTGGGGTAGCATCAGGGACAGAGTTCATGAACTTAACATGGCCTGGGGTAGCATCAGGGACAGAGTTCATCAACTTAACGTGGCCTGGGGTAGCATCAGGGACAGAGTTCATCAACTTAACGTGGCCTGGAAGTAGCATCAGGGACAGAGTTCATCAACTTTACATGGCCTGGGGTAGCATCAGGGACAGAGTTCATCAACTTAACATGGCCTGGAAGTAGGATCAGGGACAGAGTTCATCAACTTAACGTGGCCTGGAAGTAGCATCAGGGACAGAGTTCATCAACTTAACGTGGCCTGGAAGTAGCATCAGGGACAGAGTTCATCAACTTAACGTGGCCTGGGGTAGCATCAGGGACAGAGTTCATCAACTTAACATGCCCTGGGGTAGCATCAGGGACAGAGTTAATCAACTTAACGTGGCCTGGGGTTGCATCAGGGACAGAGTTCATCAACTTAACATGCCCTGGGGTAGCATCAGGGACAGAGTTCATCAACTTAACATGGCCTGGAAGTAGCATCAGGGATAGAGTTCATCAACTTAACGTGGCCTGGAAGTAGCACCAGGGACAGAGTTCATCAACCTAACGTGGTCTGGGGTAGCATCAGGGACAGAGTTCATCAACTTAACGTGGCCTGGAAGTAGCATCAGGGACAGAGTTCATCAACTTGACATGGCCTGTGGTAGCATCAGGGACAGAGTTCATCAACTTTACATGGCCTGGAAGTAGCATCAGGGACAGAGTTCATCAACTTGACATGGCCTGGGGTAGCATCAGGGACAGAGTTCATCAACTTAACATGCTCTGGAAGTAGCATCAGAGACAGATGTCACCAACTTCACATGGCTCGGGGGTAGCGTCAGGGACAGAGTTCACCAATTTCAACTTGACCTGCTGCTTTCAAGACTTGGAATCTTTTATGTCGGTGAGCTTTGTCTCTGTTTTGGAGATGGTGAATGCCTTGGTGGTGGAGGTGGAGGAGGAGGCAGCGTTGGCCTTCGCCTTTCCTTTCTTAGTGTCACAACAGCATCCCGAGAACAGCCTGACCACACGGCAGTTGCACACAAACGAGATGAAGAGGAAGACGCCCTGACTGGCATTCACTATGATGAACAGGTAGCGGAGGGCCTGCCATTGGATGGCAAAGGCCACGAAGCCCAGGATCCATGTGATGCCGGTGAGGGAGGACAGCTTGATATACACGAGGACATGGTGCTCGTCCTGCTTGTTCTTGTCAACCTTGGGCCTGTTTCTGATTGGTTTAATCGTGAGAATGAAGAAGACCAGATTGACGAGCACGGTCACGGCCACTGGGATGCCAAACGCTATTCCAATAGCTGCTGCAGACGACAGGTAGCACTGTGACCCGCCGTAGCCGATAGAGGACCCTTCTGATAAGATGATATGCACCACCAGTGTTGCTACCACAAGGGTGGCTGGCACGCCGTATATAAATACACAGTACTGCAAAAATTTCCGTCTTCTTTCACTGGAATCTTCCCTGTTCCTGAGCGTTGTGAAGACTCTGAACATGTGGAATGAGCACACGGCCATCGCACAGAACACTGACAGCCATAGGTAGTGGATGAATATACCCATAGCTTCACACAGACCCTTTGTCTCGGTTTTACCAGATCCAACAAGGTACAACAATTGAGCTGCAAATAAAGTAATTGTCAAGTTCATGTTATTCTTGCCCGGTATTCCTCTCAGCGTCTTGAAGAGACAATATGTTATAAAGGTGAGAAGGAGACAAACAAGCGACAATACCGTAAAGATAATTGAGACAATAATTTCTGCTTCAGATGCTTCAGGGTCTGGTCTGGCTACAAGTAGAGCATCAGGTTTGAAATGGTCCAGACAGATCTTCACCCAGCCTCCGTCGTCCTCTTCAAAGTCCCCCTGATGCAAGGCGTCCTCCAGCCAGTCCAACTGTATCATGGAATCCCCCTCAACATATTCATCCTTCTCCAGTTGGATCTGCGGACACGGAAGCAGGTTGGACACCCTGATGAGAACCAAATCCGTGGAGAAGGGATCAGAAGAGTCTGGTTCCTTCTCCACCTCAGGGTCATCCGATTGATACGGGTTGCTCATTGACACGCTGATCACACACGAGGTATGCTTATGCACTCGTCCCTTGTGAGTCTGACTGATCAGTCGTACATTCTCATTTGGCATTGTCTCAAAAGATATGTTCCTAGTTTCCGTTGGCAGTGTGAAATTAGTACTTCGTAAATCCAGAAGCATTGACTCAAACACGAGGGGGTCAATGTGTTTAGTTGTTAGGAATGTGGCATATATGGAAAGCCTGCTGGTTGACTGTGAACAATGTCCTTGAACGTCAGTTGTATGGAAGGCCACAACGAAATCATGGAAAGAAATGAGCATGTCCAGAGTGTAAGGGAAATAGTCCTTCAGACGGGCAGGCAGGGAGTGTAACAGGTCCTCGGGGCCAGAGAGGGGCAGTTCCTCGGCAGACTCCATGTCAAAGTACAACTCATAACCTAGCCCCTTGGCCGAGCCAAATATTGGCACACAGGTCTGATTCAGCAGCTGTTTTCCTTGAGAACACAGGATATCTCGACACGAGTCCTGAAAATTGAAATAGTATACGCTGTTAACATATTATAGTAACAAGGCTATAAGGAAATTTTAGTTAATAACATTAACTAAATTAATTAAATTAGCTCAAGGTATCTCGGTTTTTACTATCCACAAATTCAATATGCTTAACGTTGAAGTGATCATCACTATATGACACATGCTCATATAGTCGGAATCGTACAACTGACTGATTTTGACCGCGTTTCTTATGCAGATGGGTTTTATCGCTTTTATATACATTTACCTTTGTTCTAGAATTTGATTAGATGATCATTATATTAAATCCATGTTTCTTTTCAATATCAACCTACATCTTACCCTCTGGCCATCATATAACTGCCCCTCCGTGCATTTCGAACTTGGGTCGTGTCCGCTCCCATACAGCGCCGAGCTGAAGTCAAGAAGCGCAGAGAACGACACTGGTCCACCTGTTCTTTTCTTGCACCTGGAGAACAGGACTGGATTCTCTGAGTTGCAGATGTAGCAGAAGACATTTCTATATGTCTGGGCCCCCACTTCCTTGACTGTTGTGTAGCTGTGACATGCTTGCTCCAGCATCTCGTCATAATGAGACCACTTCCCTGTCACATTACAGGCCGAGATCATACCCTTACCCTGGTAACACTGCCGAGGGGAGGTGTCTGGAGGGGCGACAAACACCACCCAACACCCCTCCTGGTCGAGAGCGAAATCCAGAACTGCGGTGGTCGAGTTGAACTTTTGAAAATTATGGAATACAGTACAATCCACCAGCGTCTTCCACTCCCGGACATCGTGCACCCCGTGACACGCCGCACAGTGTTTGTTGAGGTAGGTGACGTTGCTGTCCCCGGCGGTGACCGGAGGGAGGGAGGGGGAGTCCGCACATGACGCGGTTAGCACAGCGTCAGCATCTGCAGGACAGGATGTCACCATGAAGAAACTGCTACTCGTGTTGAGTCGCGCTATCTTCTCTTCATTTGTATATCTGCCATGCAGGTTGCCCATGCACTTCATAGGGGGGAGGGCAACAGGGGGTTTGGCGACTCCCGATAGCGTCTTATCTGGGCAGCAGTCATCATATACAGAGCACATGGCATCACACTGACACGGAGCACACCACCAACATGGGCTAGGCCTGTAGCCCTCACACAGGCGGTTGCTTCCGCAGTACCGTACATGCTGCGCCAGGATCTGGGATTTCAACACATCTCGGTAGGTGGCGTTGTCGGGAGTTGTCTCCACTGGCGGCAGCGTGCTGGACGACGTCATCCCCTCCGCGAGAACCAGACAGACAGCCACGTATCCGAGCCAACGACTCATCATCACGCTTCACCTGGGGGAGACATTATGAAAACTAATTTTAAATTTCTATATTCAACTAATAGTTATAAAGATTTTACACTCGATTGTCTGGTACAGAATCGAATATTTCCAGATCGTCGCCATATAGCTGGAATATTGCTGAGTGAGGCGTTAAACAACAAGCAATCAAACATAGAGTGTTCACATTGGGTGAACTTGTATATTGCTTTTCGTCTCTTAATGTATAGATAACTATCCAAGTCGTGGTAAAAAAAATCACTTCCGGTGAAGTTCTTATAGCAAGCCGACGCCATTATGACTACATTGCTAGAATTCCTATCTTTACTTGTCCACAAAGGCCGCACAGCTACTTCAGAACAGCCATACAATATTATCTTCAACTGTCGTTGCCTAAATACTTCCGACGATGGATATGCACTTCAAAGCTGCATACCTTGCTTTAAGTTTGAGCGTATGTCGGTTAGCGTTTGGTGGTCCGCGCTTTGACAGAAGCCAGTGCTATGTATCTACGCCTCTGTAACTAGGCTGCTGCGGTGATCTGGTTGAGTACAGAACGAGCATGACTACAATCACGAGGCCCACTGCACAAAGCGATCTATAGCACTCCGACTAGTCTGTCTTACAGACCCTGATACAAATATATCAAATACAGCCCATGCAAGTCTATAATGTTTGGCAAGTCTAGATTTCTTTAGTATCAGGAAATGAAGAGAGTCTCTGGGCTCCTTTTTATTATTTTTTTAAGAATTTCTGTTCGATATGTTCATTTCAGAGACTAGATGTTGGTCAACACTCCGACGAAAGTACGTTAAAATTACTGTACTGTGTATGGGAGTAACGATTGTCTTAGCGCTATGATCGCTTTGGGGGACGAGCCTAATGACAGATCTCATTGCTCCATACAATTTTGGGAGAAATGTTCTTGCGAGATTCCACTTTGTCACTGGATTGTGCGGTCCAGAGTTGATTATGTACAGCCCGCCGTCATATTGCTAAGTGCGGCGTTATACAACAAACTAACAAACAATTAAACTGAGTAGATATTTATTTGACCTGGATCATTTATCCTCACTTCAAACAAAGAATTCATTTGGATGGAGTATCAATACTTGTCTCAAATTGCAGATTAAAAGCGTTTGTCCATATAAAATTATTATGTTGTTTGTTTTTTTTATCTAAAAGGGGCTTTGTTTATTTTACTCCGAGAACCAAGATGTGTTTTTCGTTTTGCTGCCAGATATACGTGTTATGTTGTCGACAGATCTTTAGCTATGTTGGCGGTTACAGTTTCAGATAAAGACAAACGTGCGTGATATATGTTAATGGCATTCTGACAATCACAAGGTCAATATGACATCAGGGGTTCCTCAGAATACACGTACGTATTTAGATATTCGTTTGCAGCCTATGTTGAAAGACATACACACAACGTCATTTTCCTGTTTTGCACAATCCCGATGTTTCCTACAAGATAACGCCAGACGGGGGTGAATACATGTATATAAATAACCAGTTGTGTTGTTCACCTGACTCATTGGCTGAGGGTTAAACGCGCTGAACATTTTCTCATCCGACTGGGATACTATAGGAATTCAGTCTATCGTGTGACCGTTGTTTTCATTAATTGCGTGAGTGAGAGTGAGTGAGCGTGAGTGAGTGAGTGAGCGAGTGAGTGACTGAGTGACTTGAGTGACTGAGAGTGACTGAGAGTGAGTGAGTGAGTGAGTGAGTGAGTGACGGAGGGAGGGAGGGAAGGAGGGAGGGAGTATCAATATCACGACAACACTCTTCGGGCTTGTGTAGCTACAAATATCAACGAAAATACGTTTGACATTCAAAAGCGCTTACAAAGTGTTAGCGAATTTAAATGTATTGTAGACGTAGGTCTTCAAAGGGAGGTCGTCATTACTACGCAGTAGATCTTAGCTCCGTCAAAACTGTTAACAGAAAGTTAAGTGATATGATTTAGTCAAGATGGCCGCCAATGGCCGCCATATTTGTCTTTCGGTGATTCAACCTTGAACTAACCTACACGTTTGCTCGCCGTGACACTCCTACGCTGAGCGCCAATCGCCTTAAACTTATGCTTTCTAAAGGATGGAATTTTTAGAAATGAAAACTGTCCGGCTGACAGATGTAAAACCCGGGACTTGTCCGTGACACGTTTCGACCTATTCCATTCACCCGCCGAAAATGCAAAAACGTTAACGCCCGATGACGTAAGAGTCAGGTGAGCTAACCAGCAGATGCAACCGCTCAGTAACGTTTCTGGGCCACGTAAACAAGCTCGTTCTGTCTGTAAACCATCTCCAGTCAAGGGGTCCTGACGTTAATACATTGGTCTCCCAGTTAATTAAAGGGCACCGAACTTACCCATGTGACAAATGAGAGGTGAGAGATGCAAGAGCTGCAGCTTCAACATCCGTTGCTTCTTCATCCACAAAGACACCTTCAGCCACAATGGGAAACACACGGCTTACTTCTGGCGATCACATTCAACGCGTACGACATATATACCGTCAATAGAAAGTAAGGGATATTGAAAGTAATATACCTTTATACGAATATTCAAGGTGACAAGCATACGATAGGAACCAACCCAGATCGCTTGTGCGCATGCCTTACCTAAAAATCGAAACAGCATTCAAATAAATAGATTGCAAGTTTTTCCATGGCATTTGCTAAGCTAAACAAGCAAATATTTTGCGTTTATATTTCCAAAAACCTAAAGAACATATGTTATGTTTACTGATTGGATGAAAATGGAATGGACGGGCCAAGTGTTGAATTGTTGCGGTGAATGATTCCGCAATTCCGCATTATTGTCCACAGTATTTTGAGTGTTTATGATTAAATAAGCGGTCCGTGAAGTGACTTGTAAGAGTTTTTATAAACAAGTATTGACTTGAATATGTTTTTACCTTTATGGAGTAATATCGTTAATTATCGATGTGCACACCGTTCTCTACGTTAATACCTTCATAAAAGCAAAAACTATTGAAGTTAATTTATACTTAAATAAATAAATTGGAAGTGATTCAAAGGTATTTGAGTGGCTAACCAACCAATTTTGTTTGCGCTTATATTTCTATGTATCGAAAGAATTGGCCACGCCATCTAAAGAACGACTGTTTCCTGATTGACTGACAATAGCACGAGAGGGGCTTGTGTTGCATTAATAATAATAATAATAATAATAATAATAATAATAATAATAATATAGTTTATTAATGTGTCATGTGTACATAATACACCTGGCCATTATTGGCCTAAAAGACACCTAAAATTATACAATCAATAAAATACATAAATAAAATATTATAACTAACAATATACTCTGAAGGATATCGCTGATAGCGTACGGGTATTGTTGTATTTATAATTAGTTTTGTGTGTGTTGATGATTAAATAAACAGTCTGTGAAGATATTTATATTGACGTATTTATTTAAAAGAACTGATTTAAATATGTTTTTCGTAAATCCTACGCGGGTGAACACACTAAATTATGGAATACTGTAAGGGACATTCTCGCGAGAATGTCCCTTACAGTATTCCATACTAAACACATACACACAAACAATATTAAAGTCAGTTCTTAAATACCCGCATGGGTTAGTCGGAGGTTTAGTATGGTTGCACACTTCAAGTGTTGCCCGTTTCATACGTTCCTAAAGGGGTATAAAGGTGGGTGTAACAGAATGGCAAAGACGGGGGACGCTGGGAAAAGGATGTTTGAGAGACGTTGGAGTAATGGAGGCCGGAAAATCCAGAGCTACACAAATTGTGCAACAGTCCCATATCATCCAACTATGGCAGCGATACCGAGAACGGGCATCCGAGATGCTATGCCTGCCGACTCCGCACCAGTGCTCTGTAGTACATCTTCCCGAGGCAAGTTAAACTGACTTTAAAAAGTCCAGTTTCCACCCTTGCCGAACTAGGCTGGAATAACTTGGCTCGATCGTAGCGCCACCAGTGGCTATTACCAATTATGTCCCTTCTAAACCTCCCCTAAGGACCAATCAGATTCCACCTCTCGTATCTCTTGCGTTTGCTTCACACAAAATGGTTGCGCCCGGTCAGGACGATCTGATCGATAATTAATATCTATATGGTGATAAAACGGGTCTTACATCGCGAAATGCATCAAATCACGTGAGCACCTTGATTAAAAACATGAGAAGATTTGGAAAATATCTGCTGACAACGAGTTGGTGGTGCACATGATTTGCAAATCCTGCAATCGACCGAAATCTGCACGACAGTTTACGAACCGGATTTCAATTTCGGTGCGCGAATTTGATTGGACTATGCATAGACTCGTTCGTCCAGCCAAAATGTAACTCCATAATACCAGCCTAGTTCGGCAACGGTGGAAACTGGACTTTTATAGTCAGTTAACTCACTTGCCTAAAGGGGCCGTCACACCATGACGTTCTGGTCAACGTTCTCTGAACATTTCAATCGTTCAATTTTTGAGCGTTCTAGAATGAGGATGACACATCTGGCGTGTGATTAACATGTGCCTAACGCATGACTAGCGTGTGTCTAACGCACGAGAAGCGTGTAACAGCGACCAAGTAAGATACCCCTGAAAACCATTAGCGTGTGCTAACGTGCCACTGGCGCGCGACGAACGATTTGTCAACGTTAAACGAGCGTGTTGAGCGTGTGACTAACGTGTGAATAACGACAGAATAGCGTCTAGCTGGCGTGTTTGACTTTAGTCACACGCTGCCTGCGCTAGGGGACCGTTCAGCGGTCGTTGACAGGTCGCCAGTGAGTCGTTCAATGCAAAGCAAACGATTAGTAACAACCAAGTATCGCTAGAGTAACGACTGACTAACGATAGCCGAACGCGTGCAACGCTCGGCGAACGTTAGTAAAACGTTCCACGAACGTTCTTAAACGTTCTTCAGCGTTTAAAATTAAACGTTGAAGAACGCTGGTCTCAGTGAGAACTTTTGTGCATGTTCAAAACTTTTTTTCCGGACCAGCGTTCTCCGCC